ACAGAAAATACAGTCTTTCAGCGCAAATAACCTTTTACAAGTTCTACGATCATAAAATTGATAGCATGCAAGTCAAGGAGCATGACATGAAGTTTTTCACAATCAAACCATCTTTCAAGATCTTGCATTAGTTGCATTTCACTAGACAAAATGAAAAATGAGTGAGCATAAGGCAACAAAATGACTGCAAAATCAGTGATTTACAAAATAATCAGTGAAAACACCATCAGCATCATTGAACTAAGTTCTTGAAGCCATCATATGGAGCTTGAAAATGTGAATATTATGTGAAATATTTGACACTGAAGCATTCATTTTGACCGAAGTCATCAAAACCACAAAATGGGTGAGGCCGGTAGACAAATTCAGCGCGCCGGACATTGAAGAGCTTTCTTCGACGGACAACCTCGATGCAAATAGCAAGCAGACAAAAATGGAGAGAGTACTTACCATCTTCCCGCAGAAAATGTATCGGTTATTTACAGGACTGGAATGTTTAGAAATTCCAAGGGCGGCTTGACTTATCAGCCTCCGCCCAAACAGAAAAAGCGTCGGTGCTCGTCGTCACAAAACCACCAAGCGCCGAGTCAGTGCTACCAAATTCTCACACATTTGTTGAAGGGAATTTCGTAACGGCAAGTATTTTTCTACCGATATTAACCCTAGAACGCCTAGGGGGGGGGGGTGTATCACCCCCCCCCCTGAGGTTTTTTCGAAGTGCACGCTAAACGGCTTGTCGTAGCGGGCTGAAATTTTCAATACCCTCTGGGGCAACCTTTGCGCATCTTTTGCCGAAAAAAATTGATCGGGTCATGTCAGGTCACGGAGTTATGACGTCATAAAGGGAACAACCTCCGGCCAGATTTACGCTAAATTGGAGATTGCTTCACATTGGTATAAATGCCGACTGACCTGGCACACTGATGGATTGTTTTAGAACCATAACTGGCTGATTTGACATTGGCACAATGTCCGTTGACCTTTTCAAGGTTACTAAAGGTCAAGGTCAGGTCAGTGACCTCGGTTGACCTGTAATGACTTCTTGCACTTGTATGCCTTTTCGGGGTATTTTGATGCCCTGAATTCGAATTTGCTATCCATTTCAGGCATCGTCGGTTGTTTCTTGTAGTTCATTTTGGGTCAGGGTCAGGTCAGTGACGTCACACGCCTGACGTGACCCAATGCACAAATGACCTTGCAGACTTCCGATGCTCCCAACGCATCATTTTTAGAGTTATGACATCGAAATACGCACCAAACGATAGAGAATTGATCAAGGATCACGATAGTGAAGGTTTCAAGTCGATATCTCTTACCGTTTTGCCGCAATCGGCGCGGAAATCTGAAAAAGTTAGATTTTTCCGAAAATTTGACCTTTGACCGGTCATAAGTAGGTCAAATGTTGACCTAGGACCAAAAAATATACCACCAATCGCGAGATCTCGTTGAGAGCAATCCGTTGGTTTTTTCCGCTAAGCTCTACGACCTTCCGTTTCGAAACGCCAGGGGGGGTCGTAACAACCCCCCCCCCCCCCTGGTCGTTCGTGTTATGAGAAATGGCCTGGTCGTGCGAGGGTTAAGGAAGGAGCCGGAAAGGTGCTTAAAGGTAGTGTGCCAGCTTTCCTGGACCGTATGGAGTTAATGGCCCAGATAAGGAGAACCGGATTTTTAGAACTTATCCATACCTTCAAAACTCATGGAAACGTCTTAAATTCTTCAAATTTTGAGTACCCCAGTGCGAAATTCGCCCCGACGGGTTGTCGGTCGTACCCCAACCACATTTCACACCACTATGAACAACAAATGCACACACTGAAATCGCTATTACCGATATGCTCATCCAATCAAGTTTCGATAAACCCGTTCATCATCATCTCCTGCGGTTTCGAACACGCCTGTTAGGTGGTGCGGTAGACCGCGCCCAAAGCCAGGGCCCCGGTAACGTGAGGTAGCCGAGTCGGGGCAGCGTGCGCTGACCCAAGCCGGGGCCGCGCGTCCTCCCGGTGTCATGTGATAGCCCGGGGCTGCCCGCGGGGATGCGGTAGACCGCGCCCAAAGCTGCCGCCCCGGCTTGGGTCAGCGCACGCTGCCCCGACTCGGCTAGCTCACGTTACCGGGGCCCTGGCTTTGGGCGCGGCTTCTGCTCATACTTTGTGGTGCGGTGGTGGTGCGTCGGGCCGCGCGCTCTGACTTCGGCCAAGAAAAATGCGTCAGCTGATCATTGTCATTTCTGCCACTTGCGTGTGGTGAAATGGGGTCATAACTTAAGAGACGGCTTTTTCATATCAATTATTTTACATAAAATCATATTTCAAACCATAAATAATGTTCGACAGCCAAATAAAAGAAACAATACCAATACAGGCTTACAGTTTAAGGCTCGACATTGTGTTGTCTACGATTAGACAGCTGATAACTCATTCCCGTACGTCGTAACTCTATAATGACCTTTGCTTATTGTCACATGTGCGCCGCATTCGCGATTGTTGCCGACGCCTGTTTGCAGGTCAGCCCACTACATGGTTGTTATACATATCGAAAAACCGATTAACTTTTAGGCGAAAAAGGCACTATTCCAGGCCCATTTTTGATTTTCTTTGCGATATTAGGTAAAAACAGAAGCTTCTTATCCTAGGAAAAATAAAATGGGAAATCTTTCAAAGGTGGCACACTACCTTTAACCCGCGCCCCACTGGGGTCTGTGTATAACACGCCCTACTGGGGGGGGGGGGGGCTATTCATTCAGCTATTCATAGCCCCCCCCCTCCTAACTCCGAAACTACTGGGCCGATCGTCAAAATTCAAACGGCGTCTGATAGCCCCGGAAAAACTGTCGAACGAAACCTAATTTCATTGACCTCGAGGTCACCGATGACGTCACAGGTCAGGTCAAAGTAAAAATTATTAGCATTTTGGCTTGTTCACATTTTGGGCTCTGGCCGCCGTCTTACAAGTCAGATCATGCTCATTTTTGGTTTCCACACTCGTGAACAGATGCTCTAGATACCTTGAGGGTACCAAACTTGTACTTTGATTTTCAGGTCAGGGTCAGGTCATCACAGGTCACGGAAATATTATATCATGCGTCGGTCACGTGACACATGTTTTATGGTCCATTTAGGCCATAGATTTCGAATTTGATGTCGTCTGTGTCATTTGAGGTCATTTTGAGTCGAATTTAGCTTAGGTCAGGTCACTTTCAGGTCAAAAAAGGTCAAATTTTGAAGTTAAATTTTTTCAACAAAAAAGGTGTCTATTGGATGCAGTTTGAGCTCAGGAACACGATGGTGCCATTTATATTGGTGTAAGATGTCAAATACGTACTGAAAAATTGATTTGAAAAATTCATAATTGTGAATTTTTTGCAATAATGCGTATAACTTGGCCATTTTTGAAGACATTTAGCTAAAACTTGCTAGAGTTAGTCATAATCATGCGTTCTGTCACATATATTCCGTTTTTTTTCGAAAAGTCAAAAACTTTTCGAAAAAAATATAAAAATATAAATTTTGAATATTATAATATAAAATTTTCAAAACTTTCAAAATTTTGAAAATCCGAGATAGCAGTTTGATAGCGCGGTCAATTCTGAGTCCTTTCATGCAAAGAAATTGGATCTAGCTTAAAAACTGAGCTCTTGGGAGCGATTGCCGTGGTTCAATGTTTTGCGTCGAAATCGGACGAACATGACGTCACTCTGACGTCATTTCCGGCCGACCTATGGTAGCTACGAAGTTCAAATTTTGACACAAGGTGTCGAATTGATGCAGCCGAAGGTACTGAAAGTTTGGCGTCGATTTGTCAAGCGGTTTGGAAGTTATTGCGGAAAAACGGGAGGGGGGGCTATGAATAGCCCCCCCCCCCAGTGGGGCGCGGGTTAATAAAGCGAATGAAGTGCCTTGCCCTTTTCAAAAAGCCAGTGGCTCGACCTGCAGCGAGAATTGAGTCAAATGGTCAGTTTAGTCTATCTCAATTTTTCCCAGGCCAAGGTGCTTGAGCCGAGTCCGGTCTGTCAGGCGCTGGCGGTCCCTCAAATAACTGTCTCACTCTCGACATTCTACCAGGCGTCCAGCTCCGTCTGCTCCAGGACCTCTCAGACGGCGTCGACCCCGAGTCCCGACCCTCCGTTCTAAGACTGTCTAGATATAAGATAGCTACAATGTCCAGTTTGACAAAGTTCTTTGAACGAAATGCTCACTTAATCCAACCCCAACCGGACGGAGCTTGGCTTCACTAGCGAATCTTGGGGCCGATTCAGTCGGATACGATTAGTCAGATCTGCAGGCGAGACCTTTCGGACCTTTCGGACCTTTCGTATCGGGCGCATAGGCGCTGGGGGGGGGGGGGGGGGAGTGGGGCAGCCTGCCCCCCCCAACTCTGGGGCCACGGGGGCGGTGCCCCAACAACTTTGAGACGGAATATGGGGTACCCTATTGGTCTCTATTATGGTGTGCCCCCCCCCCCCCCCAGTCTGCAAGTAGTTCCCGCGCCCTTGTTCGGGCGAGACCTTTCAATGAATATCTTGTAGTGAACCAGTTTTCAAATAGAGTTGGTGAATGGTGAATAAGAATCAAGAATGTAAGAATATACCGACCTGCTATTCAAGGACCTGTAGGCATGGAGGCTGGACGTGTTTGGAGTGGATCAGTGGACGATGCAGTGTTTAGTGCTATAAATGTGAATACAATAACTGAACCAAAAACCACGACTGAAATTTTGTCGCGCGTTTCTCCTTTAACTTCCTGAAATCTACCATACTTTGTCTTTTCCCTAACTGTGATCATATAGTGACGAGAGCCGGTATTGGCCGTGCCTTTTTCAAAGGACGAGCGGGAGACGCACAATGCACATCACATCACCCCTCTCCCCATTCCCCTCCCTCCAGCGAACGCACGAGGCGTCAAACAGCCTCGGGCGAACCAATCAGCGAGCTCAGACGACATGTGACCTTGAACCGGAGATCCTGAGGTGTCTCGTTTGGTCGGTGCCCGCGGGGATGCGACTCAGTTAGCGTGTCACCATTTGTCCAGTGCGTCGCGAATTGGGTCAGTGGACAGTGTGTGCAGTGAACGAACGATTTGTGGTTGGATTACGTTTGGCAGTGTGGCTGGAGTGTTGGTGGCTAGTTTTGTTAAACTGTCTGATTGACAAGCGTAGGATTTATCGGCGATTTGCGGCGACGGCGGCATGTAAAACATCGATGACAAGCGCAAAATGAAATCGTGAACTTGTCAGTAGCGACCAGCAATGACGGTGAGGTAAGTCGCCGATATATCTTTATTGTTATGGAAAGTCGCGGTGCAATGGGTCGATTGGGATTATCGTGAACTGTGAAGAAAGCTGGTAATACGACGATTTCATTTTGGCACGATTAAATATCTTCCATGATTGTAAGCAGCTCGCCTCTTCCACTGCGCTTCGAAGCTGTAGTGATCAGTTATCACGAATGATAAATAACGTTGAATTCAGATTGAATTATCGGAGTATCCTCAGACTGTGTCACTGTCCATGTTTTATTGACGTTGCAGAACGTAATTGCAGGAATCATTCTTTGGTGTTGAGTGTGGTTTGTTGCTGTTTGTTTTTGCAATTCACGGACGACATTTTTTAATTTTGCGATGCTAATTAAACATTTTGGAAACAATCATTTTTTACATTTTGCTTTTTATTACAGTTCACCCTGGATAAAAACATACAACAGCGGCCCTCCGGGACTCGAACTGACCGGATATCAGGACATGGAGTCGTCTTACAAGGTCAGTGCACAGTGGAACTGTGACAATACTGTATTTGTTGTTGCATGATCCTGTGCATTTTCCCTGTAGTTTACGAATTCAGCAACGCATCGACGCATCATAACTCATCATTATCATCATAATGATGCATCAATGCATCATTAACTGTAGCAACGCATCAAATATTGATCGAGGAGGCTTTATCTGTGATCAATGGTCAGTGGCGTCCATTAGCCCTCAAATCTTAGTCTGCCGATCACAACATAATGCATGGTATGAAGAATGCTTACCCGTTAGTGTAAGCGACCTGAAGGCTATTCGCAGTTGATCTTAAATCTTAATCTATCATCTAAATATCTTTTGCTCATGTTGGGTGAGTGTCACACTGGCTGCAGCTCCATTGTCACCTAATGGTTTAGGTGCACCCTGATCATCATATGCTCATTGACTTTTATCACCGTGACATATTGCTGTACCCTCCACGACCACGTGCTTCTTGTCGAAGAGTTACACACATAATCAAAGTGACACAAAACGGTACAAATTACCATAAATGTATTCCAATAAGTTAACACACGGTCTAACGGAACCATTCCAGTACGGTGGCATGATTTCACACAGTAAGATCAAGACGTTGTTTTAGTGGTGGGCAGTGTTATAGGCCGGCGTAGAGTGGTGAGGAGCTGCCTTGTAGGCAGGGGCAGCGTGCTGCTCGGGGTAGGCAGCCTGTCCGTCGTAGGTGACCTCGGCGTTGTATCCACCATAGTGGTCAGCCGTGTACTTGACGTGCTGGGTACGGCCGTCGGGCAGAACCACCGAGTAGTAGCCCTGCACGTTGTGACCGTCGCTCTGCTCGTTGCGGGCGAAGTTGGTGCCGGTGTAGTGGTCGTTGACGGCGTATTCGAAGGCGAACGGCATGGCCTCCTCCTTGTACTGGGTCTGCGGGTGGTGGGGAGCCGGCTTGTAGGCCGGAGCAGGGTGGTACGGAGCCGGAGTCGGGTGGTACGGAGCCGGAGAATCGGCGGCGGCCACGGCCAGCACGGTGGCAAAGATGAACACCTGGAATGTCATCATAATTGGTAAGTCAGTTTTTCACCTGATCTGTTCAGTATTTATGGTAATTATCAATATTTTACAAAACAAATGATGTAGCTCATCGAAAAGCGGCATTGACTGCTCTAGTGTACCTATGTTTGGAAATTATAGCTGAAAATCAGCATTGTGGTTTGTAAATATGATTTTTTTCTCACCTTCATGTTGGTTGGTTGGTTGGTTGGAGGAGTGTGCAGAGCAACTGGTGCCGACTGCCACGTTCCGACACCTTTTATACGGCGAGCGGACACCCTCACGGTCTAGGTCACGGTCTAACCCGTCCAACAGAAACCACAGAGCATGCAATGGTCAGTGGTTTACTGTTCGGCCCGCCTGAACGCACGGACCCTGTCCAGACGACCTTCAGAGGCCCGTGTAAAGTGACAGTTTGCGATAGGAGCAGGCGTTAGAGATCGCCGATAATCAACGACTTGTAAGCTACAGACGATAGAAGATAGTGAAACAGAAAATTGCGAAAACTCTTGATAATGAGAAATACAACGTGCCTATAATGGTCTAGGACACGATGTATGTAAATACTAACGGTCTAGGACACGATCCATGTAAAGACTAACGGTCTAGGACACGATCTAATTGCTCCAACTTTTGTTCATGCCTACACTTCGTTGGCAGTGACAACACGCTGGCAAAATTCGCTTCTACAATCAAATCTACTCAACAATCTACTTCTACAATCAGATCTTCTTACGGATGGATGCTACAAAGTTGGTGCATGGTAGGTAAATGGGGTGTAGCAACTAGCAGGCACTTATCGCAAATATGTCAAAATTACTTTCCTGACTAAAAAGTAAACAACTCTGGATGCATTGCTCATGGCGCCAAACCATATTCATATCAACGTATGTCGTGTACCTATTGGTAGGAGTGAAAAGGTAGGTTCTCTGTTCTACGTAATCTATGGACGTGATCTTTCTCTCAAAGTAAAATTAAAGAGAGCAGAATAGATAGGTATACCCATCTTAAAGGGACCGTCCCACCTTCAAAAAAGTTTATTAGGTACTTGGCATAAAAGTGATTCACCGTGGTTTAGAAAGAGGGCAAAATAATATATACCAACTTTTGCCTAAAATTTTCACCGGTTTTTGAGATATTTGACTTTCGCTTTTATTTATTTTTGTTTTGCTTATTTTTGGGGGCCTTCGCTGTTCCATTTGACGTCATTTGGGAGCAATAATTTGGTGTCTTAAAAGTGCCACAAATGTTGCGCGGAAGGCGGTATATGCTACCCACTGAACTCTATAATGTGGAAGGCGCATCGGTCGCCAGATGGTGTCCAACGGTGCCGCCATGTTGCGCAGACCAGGAAGCGGCCGCCGCCGCCTGTGTTGGGGAATAGGGAATTCGGGACCTCGATTTACGTTTGCGGCCGCTGCATCCGTTACGTTCAAGCTATGTAGACACGGAACCCGGCATCTTACACAGAATTGAGGGGAGAACAAGATGCAATCTTAAAAAATCCTCAGATACAGGGAACTTATACGTTAAACCCTTATAAGTCAACGGGGAAATATGGAAATTGCTATTTTGGCGCCGCAGGGCCTCGGCTAAGGAATTTTGACTGGTGGGCCACTTGGGCAGCGACATGGACTGACCTTCGTAGCCATAGCCCCCCCTCAATTTTCGATTTCTCCCCAGATTTCGGCCACTTTATTCTGCAAAAAACGTCAGGATGGCATTCAAAAAATGTAAAAAAAACGGGGCTCGACCCCCCCCCCCCGACTCTTCACAGAGAGAGGAGAGAGTAGGGACCCACAACCCTCTCAGTGGTGATACTCCCGCGGTGCACATAAAATCGCACAAGCACGGAATATATAGTCTACGACATATCGTAGTACATATCGACATATCGACATGTCGTAGACTATATATTCCGTGGCACAAGTATGCACACAATATTGACGCAGATTATAAAACTTTGGACGATAACTTACGGCCGTGAGTGGATCGCTCGCCGACTAGTCGGAGATTCGGAAGCGGTCGGACGGGATCGGGCGTTGTTGGGTGGATCGGGAGGAATTGTGAACAGCACGAGTGCAACTTTATATACATGTATAAAGTCGGTTGTAGCAGGAACCCCAAAAGGGGGTTGTAGCAGCAACCCCAACATCTCTGAAAATGATCATTAAGCCTATTGGTGTCGCATGGAAAATAATTGACTCAAAAGCCCAAGCGCACTGCGCAGCCCTGATATTTTCTTTAAAAAAAAAACTAAGTTATGTACACGTTCACTTCTGGTGAACAGTGTCCCAAACTTCAGATTTCTCTTGGGTGTCTGAGTGGAAAATTCGAGCCACCCAAAATGTGAGAGTGGAAAATTATCCATTCTTATTCTTGAGTGTCATCTTCAGCCCAAATGATAAATTTTTGGAACGCTGACTGTGAACGGTTCGAAATTCGTCCAACTGGTCAGATGTGTGACTGCAAGCATCATACCGGTCGTGAAGACGCATAATATCGCTTGCAGACTTCAATCGGCTGGAAGTCGCCGACACTACCTCTAGTTTGACTCTGGCTTATATCGTGTCTATCGGCGAGCCGTCTGAGATCGCTCGCAGGCTTATCCCCGACCGTCTGAACTGGTCTGTTCTTTTTTCGTAGTCTTTCTTGTAACCGACTGGTCTGCGGCAGATGCTTATGTGACTGCAACCACTCGATCGATCGGAAAGCTTGCAAGAACTCTCGCAGACCTCGATCGGCTGGAAGCCGCCGACACTATCTGTAATTGACAGAGGCAGACGTCTTTCACGATTATTGCATAAAATTTAAAGCCTCGGTCACACTTCACCGGATTGGACCAACGGACGAGAAACGGACGAGAACTGTCAGCGTCCGGTGATGTCCGTTTGTTTCCGTTGGACGTCCGTTTGTCATCCGTTAATATCCGTTCCATGTCCGGTGGTGTCCGGTTGAGCACACCGGACACCACCGGACATGGAACGGATATGAACGGATGAGAAACGGACGTCCAACGGAAACGAACGGACATCCCCCGGACATCACCGGACGCCGTCCGTTTCTCGTCCATTGGTCCAATCCGGTGAAGTGTGACCGAGGCTTAGTCCACTTAGTCCACTATAGTTCACTTTTTACCCCAAGAGGATATTGCAAACAATAGGTTGAAGTTTTTTTTTCACAAGAATATGTTTCACCGATGGGTCCTTTACAGCCTGAAAATGTACGATAAGATCTGCTAATTCAATTTGAAATGTGAAAAATGTGAAAACTTAGATTTTTCGGAAAATTACTGGTGGGCCAAATCTTTGAGGCTGGTGGGCCATTTCGGGTCACTGGTGGGCCATTTGGCCCACCAGTTAACATGTTAGCCGAGGCCCTGTGGCGCCGGGAATGATCTGAAACTATCTCAAGCATATAGAATCGTGATTTCATGCACTCCTTGCAAGGTCCGATGCTTCACATTTGCATTGTTGCCCTTGCGTGACGTCATATGCGACGTCACAAGGGTCATAAAGTTTTCTTCAATAACTCCCGATCAAATTGAGCTAGCGAATCGGGAGAGCCACAAATGGACTCAGAAAGACCTGCCAAATCGAATGATATGCAACATGACCTTACTCGACCAGCCTCGTGACCTGGGAGCCCTGACCTGACCTTGTCACGACTCACGAGGTCAATGCCTTAAATTGACCTCACCCGAACAAAAAGTATATCACTCGATGCGCCTGTGCTAGGTGAACACGATGAACACGAACACGATGCTACCACAGCAACAATATTCTTTTATCAAGGATTTAGTATAAGATTTAAAAATCGCTAGATCTGCACTGACGTCACAAAGTCAGAGGGGGCACTCAAATGCATTAGCCCCTCTGAATTCGAGTGCTGCTGACTTTGAACTTAAATATTTCCGATTTAAGTTATTTCTCTATGCTGTGAGTACACAAACCGGC